ATTCTTTTCCTTCCTTTATCCGAATCTGGTGGTATGCATTCTTAACGTCCAGGTAGGTAAAGATTTTAGCACTACGTAGTTAGTCCTATAAGTCCTAAATTAAGGGTAATGGATAGTAATCCTTAATAGTCATATCATTCATTTTCTAGAAGTTAATGTAGAAGTGGGGTTCTAGGTCACCCTTCTTCTCCATAAATATTACTCTATGAGCTGTAGGCGAGCTTAAAATCCAAATATACTTTCTTCTAATGTTAGTATCCACATATTTATTAATAATTTATTATTCTACTTAGGTAACCTTATAAGTAGGTCCCTATATAAGTTGTTTTCTAGGCATTAGTAGTATTTCATAGTCCTATTCCGTATATTCCGGGAGGTATCCTTCTGGTTCGTTGAAGATATCTTTATATTTCTAGTATTAGGAAGGAATCTTACTTACTAGTGGTTCTTCCTTACTCACTATAAGGCGGTAAGGGTACCAGACCTATTAGGTTTCCTAGTTAATAATAGGTTTAACCTATCGTAACCATGGCATTCCCAAGATAACATCTTAGTAGTCATCCATTTAGACGAGATCTATAGAGAAGTTATTAATTACCAATCCTTCTAATTAGAATGGGCTTGGTTTTATCTTAAAATGGACTTATTCCTTAAAAGGTAATCCTTTAATATTATATAGGGTTCGTTTGTCTTCTTTATTTATATAGTAAAGACTGTTGTCCTCCATAAACTTCTTTAATATGAAGTTCCTTATAGCCCTACTATTAATTATTGCACATATGGGTCGTCCTTGGTATTCCCCCTAGATAATTAAGTAGGGTCCTTTTATTCCTTAAAGGGCCTCCTTGCCCTTAGGCCAGTGCTTTATATAGACCTTTTTTGCCACGTGCTTTAGGTATCTATTTTCTAGGCACTTATACTATGGGCGTCCCATGACGCATTCTAGTGGGAGTAGTGGCCTAGGTACTAGAATTAGGTAACCTCTATATTTCCTATTAGGATGCCAACTATACACTTCTTCTTGTAGAATAATATCCATATAGGGGTTATTATAGACTTGGGTGGGGAAGGCCTTATACTTCTTCTTAGGTGCTAGGTGTATTTTGCACTCTAATATGATACATAATATCTATACTATCTCGTGGTGGGTGGGGTGGAGCTGGGAGGTCTAAGGGTTATTACCCTAGACTTTCTTTAGTCCTTTGCTCGTGGGTTCTTCATCAACTAGTATTTAGTATTTGACTAGTATCCATGGGGTGTAGGCTTTATTAACCTATTTAATTTTATGGGTAATCTACGCCTATTCCTAGTTACTTAGTATTTTAGTGGCTAGGACTTTATTTCGTTCAATCCACTTTTAGAAGTCCGTAAACTTTATATTTTAGGGATACTTAGTTTTCCAATCCTTATACACTTTATAGATTGTATTTCCTAGACCTTCTTTATTAAAGAACCTTAAGTTCTTAATTATTTCTTAGGCGCCCTTGAATATCCTTGGCCTTACCACTTCCTAGGCTGGCCCTATTGGTTGGAAGTACTCGGTTCCTCCTATATAAATATTCTTATTTAGTGATAATAGCTTATCCTTAGCTGGAGAGGAAGAGAAGATCTCATCTTCCCTAAATATAGACT